AGCATGAAGAATCAGGAATAAATGGAAGGAAAAGTGTGTAAGGCCTCTGTGTGGAAAAGTACTGGAAATGTAGAGAGAAATCAGCTGGAGGAGGGAGGTGGCTATGTTCACTGATGGGAACTCAATAATATTAGGGTCATTGATGCTTTCCAGATTGGTCTCCAGATTGAATGTGGTCCTAACCAAATCCCAGCAAATCTTTACTGTTTTCTGGAGATGGCAGTGGATTGACAAGCTGATTGTAAATTTTTTTCTGTACTAGGGATTGAACTCGGATCTTTGCATCTACGAGGCAGGCAGTGGAAACATTGAGTTAAATTCCCCGCCCAGTGATTGTAAAATTTGTATGCAAAGGACTGGGGAAGCCAAGTCAACCTTTTAAAGATCAGTGAAACTAAACCTAGGTGGTGCACCCCTGTCATTCTAGGTATTCAGGAGGCTGAGGCAGGAGGGTGACAAATCCGAGTTCAATTTGGGCAATTTAGCGACTTAGTGAGGCCTTGTCCCAAAAATAAAAATGAAAAGGAGCAGGGAAGGGCCCTGGAACATAGCTCCATGTGAAGGCCCTGGGCTTGACCCGAAGGGTGGCGTGGAACTGATTTATATTCACTATTTTCATTTATAGTAAAGCCAAAGAGCTTACTGTAAAGGCACAATAATTAAATTAGGTTTGTGGGGGATTGTTGTTGTTGATTTTCGGTACTGGGGATCTAACTCGGGCCCTTGCACTTGCAAGGCAGGCAGCAGAACCACTGAGCCAAATCCCCAGCCCTTGAAATAGGTTTAAGCCAGCACAAGGACAAAGCAGAGATTGATAAAATTGAAATGCAGCATGGAAGGTACAGTGGACCCTTGAGTTACGACCAACCTGACGGATGAACAACTTTGGTTATGACCAGAATTTTAGTTTTAAGACCAAAGTCTTGAGTTATGACCCGAATGCTGGCCGCTGGTGCTTCCAGATGGTCTCAGACACAGATCTAACCCTTACAGAGTCCGGAAGGAACTTTGCAATCCTTCCCGTGTGGGGCTAAGTGAGAACTCCTGGGCCGGCGTCTCTCTAAGGACCCTGAGCTATGCCTGTGTACAGGAGAGAGGCTTTGGAGGCTGAGGAGGAGCCTGAGCCTTTGACCAACTTGAGTTACAACCAGCCCTTGGGAACGGACTGAGTTTGTGAGTCAAGGGCCCACTGCGGCTGAGTACGTGGTTTTCAGTTGTTGTCAGTGGGGATGGAACCCAGGGCCTGCTGAGCTACACCCGCATCTGTAGGCCATGATTCAGAAACAGTTAAAAATTAAGTATATTTAATGGTGATTAACTGTAGAGACCCTGACCCAGCCTGACACAGTGTAGACAGAACTTCTGTGTGGTCTAATCCAAGGCGGGGAAACGGAGCTCACAGGGTACGGCCTGTTCAGGTCACTCGGCCAATCTGCTCTCCTAGCTGGGAACAAAGGCCAGGGCTGTGCACCCCACAATTCATTCTCACCCTTTGAGTGAATCTCCCCTCCCTCCCTCCCTTCTTTCCTTCTTTTTTATACTTGGGATTGAACCCACTAACCTACATCCCAGCCCTTATTCTATTTTTAATTTTGAGACAAAGTCCTACTAAGTTACCCAGGCTGGGCTGGAACTTGCAATCCTCCTGCCTCAGCCTCCTAGAGTGTTGTGATGAAGGTGTGCACTGCTGTGCCGCGCTTGTCTGCCTTCTCTTAATTGCATTGCTCTGTTGGTGCAGGAGGCTGGAGGATCTGAGGTGGGAGGGAGAGACCCATGAGTATCTTCCATGTGCTTGAAGGAGGGTTTCCTTAGAGCTCATCCCGTGGGTCAGAACTGAGCAGCTGTGACCCAGGCAGCACCTGGCCACACAGGTGTCACCCACATGTGTTACACGGTGGTGGTGGGGGTGGCTCTGGCTCCTCAGGTGGCTCGGGGGCCACTGGGAGATTGTTCTTTCCCAGTGGCTCAGCTGCCACGGCTGAAGCGTCAGAGTGGCACCTGGGGCTGCAGTGTCCTCCTGCCTTCAGGCCAGTTTGCCCCTGGGGTGATCACAGGAGGACAGAAAAAGCCATCGCAGCAGTCCAAAGTCTTGCGTTTAGTCATTGCTACTAGCTGCCATTTTCTATTTCTTTATTTTGGGTTTTTTTTGTTTTTGTTTTTGTTTTTTTGAGGCGAGGTTTCACTATGCAGCTCAGGTTGGTCTTGAACTCATGGCGATCCTCCTGCCTCAGCCTCACCATCACACACCTTCACCCACTGCTCTGCTGTCCCAGCAGACTGAGCTGTGAGGCCCCCAGAACCACACCAACTGCCCCTTGCACGTGCCCATTTCTGTCCACGCTGGGGCACCGCAGTCCAGCTGGGGCCCGCCCTGGCTTGCTGTCTGCCCACCTTGGCAGGGCTCGGCTGGAGCCCTAGGCAACCAGCTTCTTCACCCTTGACAGGGCAGAGAAGAGTGTTTTCCTCAAAGGGGAAGTCAGGCACGGTAGCTTCTCCTTCGTTGGATAAAGTCTCCCCAGACAGGGAATCAGCAGACGTGGGAGCTCTGCTTCTAGGTGAATGTCCCCATGCATTTTGTGCTGCTGTGAGAATGCCTGAGGCTGAGAGAGTTAGAAAGTCAGCTGGGTGTGGTGGTGCATGCCCTTCGTCCCATCACTCTGGGAGGCTGAGGCAGGAGGATTGCAAATTTGAATCCAGCCTGGGCAATTTAGTGATTTAGCAAAATCCTGTCTCAAAAAAAAAGAAAAGAAAATGAGAACTGGAAATGTAGCTCAGGAAAAGGTACTGGGTTCAATCCCCAGTACCAGGAAAGGAAGAGAAAGGAAAGAGGGAAGTGAAGGGGGAAGGAAAGAGAAAGCATCTGAGGGGCTCGCGGCTCCGGAAGGCATTAATCCCTGTCGGTGGCCCCGCCTCCCAACACCACAGCAATTCCTCTCCAACACGAGTTTTGGGGGCGACAAACCGCACAGCCACAGCAGGGAGGAACACGGTCTCTCCGGGGAGCCAGCGCCCACGGATCCACACCCAGCGCGCGTCACGTTTGAAGACCCCTCGTTTAACACGGAGATCTGTGCACACGTGTGCACCCCTTACACTTACAGCTGACTCACGCACCTCACACTCACGGCGCACAGCATTGTCTCTGCACGGCGCTCAGGGTTACACAGCAACACCCCGATAAAAGGCCCAGCGGCGCGACAGGCAGGGCAGGAAGCTGACGTGAACAGGTGTTTAGAGCGTGAGAGCTGAAGTAAGAGGGCAGAGCGCGTGTTCCGCCTCAGTCCACTCACTGGGACTCAGTGGTGGCCGGGAAGGGGCAGAGGTGTCTGGGTTCTGACCTTGGGGTGACGCACACCTGTTGGGTGGATTTGCAAACGAGGACTTGAAAATGACGATATCACACGCTTCAGGGTGCAGCCCGCTGACTTGGGGCTGTGTCTCCATCCCGTCACTACCTCCCCCGGGGACACCAAACATGGAGGGAGCCCGGATGAAGGCAGGAGCGCTGGCCCAGGCCCTGCCCTCCACGGCCGTGTGCACGAGGGCCAGCTGTCCCCTTCCCGGAGCAGCTCTGGAGCTCTCCTGGTAGATGCTGGAGGAAGGATCTAGGACCAAGCACAGCAAAGGTGGCCACCGTTTCCACCCCCAACAAGGGCTTCTCCTCGACCCCTTCTGCAGCACACGGAGCATGGACCCCCGCTGAACGGTCAGGCCACTTTCTGGCCATGAATTTCTAAGCGTCTATGAGGACCCTTTGCATTGTCCGTCCGCAAAACTCCAGCTGGGCCCCAGTGGCCCTGAGTGGGACTGGAAGGAGAGGTGCTGTCGCCGGCCGGAGCCGGGGCCCCGGGTGCCCAGCGCCCTCCCGGGTCACCTCAA